CGATATGCTAATTTTATGGTGACATATAGAGCTTGACAAAGAAGTCTGATAAAACATATGTAGGAAACAACTAATGTATCCAAAAGTTTCTAATACTATTTATATGATAATAAAAAGTGTTTTAACTTTGATAACACTTAAATGAAGTTTTCGATTTTATTATCAGTTTGCTAATTTATTATATATTTACCTTTTGATTATTCCAACGGCATATTTATTTTAATCTTTTCAAAAATGACAATCTTAACAGGGATTAACCAAATTTATTTTTCGAATTAAATCAATTATTTTTTTTTTTATTGAAAACTTCGACTATTAATATTTATCATAAACAACAAAAGTTATTATTCTTTAAAGGTTAATAAAAGGTAGAATACTTCATAAAAGGTCTATCGAAATTTTTTTTTATCAAGAATAAAATTCTTTTTGCTGGTGAAATATTCCTAGATTGTATTAAAACATTAATGGATAAAACAAAATTTTTTTTTCTCTTTCATTATTATTTTACAAAAAAAAAAATTCATCTAAACCATTCTATATTCATAGAATAATTTTGTTAAAAATATTACATTTCATTTTTGGTTTTACATACATGAAATAATGAATAAAAAAAAGATACAACACAGATTAAGAGGATTAATTATTATATTTTTAAAACATTCAGAATCCCGACACTGCATAAACAAAAGATGTGTTTATTTTCAATCGAATTTCACCAAAATTATTAAAATCGATTTTAATCATGAAGATTAACTTTAGCCAACATTATTCCGCTGATTATAATTTCATTTAGTAGTCTTCATAAACATATTGACGTATAGTAGTCATTTTGATAAAATATAATTAAATTATTTGGCTTATGGATATAAGAAATATGGAATTTAAGGATTTACTTCCTTCATCCTACGTTCACTAATATTGCTATAAATTCCCCTTAGGGTAAGAAGCGAAATTGCGCTCATGGATTGACGTCAATCTTTCTTAGAGTGTTTACTCACCAAACTCAACGTGATGATGAGATCAACTAGATTTTACTTTTTTAGAATACTAAAATATAAGAGTCTCAGTGGTTTGCAAATTGAACTTTCTAAAGACAATTGTACTCACGGATCTGTCAATAATCAAAGATTTATACCAGTAATTCGTCTCATACTATGTATTATCTTTGAAACTATGTTATGCTTCATTGCACAGAGTAACCATTAAATTGGTAAGACAACGCCTGATTTCGTCAATAAAAAAGGAAATTTATGCAATCAGCTATAGATTGAGTAAGCAGGATCTACTGAATTATAGTCAAGCTATTTAATATATAATGTTTAGACTAGCCTAATTATTATACAGCTCATCTTTCTGCTCTTACTTATCTGACTAGCTGTTATTTATGCAATACCATCTCTTTTTGAGCTCACAAAATCTCTCATCTTCACTCTTTTACTTAAATGCTAAATAATTCAGCCAAATTACTTTCATTTTCTTTTTTATCATATTTAAATATTATTACCTTAATAATTAACAACAATTATTCTAATTTATATAATTGATTATTTATGTATCTGTTTAATCCAGTACATTTCTGTTGAATGTTGGAGTATTTAAGAAATGTTATTTACACCAAGTTAAGGAGTTTTTTGGTGGAAAAAATGTTTTGCCAACATCTATTATCAGTCAGTGAACACTACAATACATAGGATGCTAAAAATAGTTAAAAGAATAATTGAACTTGAAAAGGGGAACAACAGAGAAAAAAATAAAGTGTACATGTCACGTTCGTCTGTTTGTACATAGGGAAGCACTCAAATATTCTCATTGATTTGCACTTTTGCTTGAGTAATTATGGTATGCAGTGTAAACTTTACATATATACCTACAGGTCATTAGTTACTTATTCAGCTGTTGATTTTAAAAATTTTCTCTATTATTTATTTTACAATTACTGTTTGAAAAAAAGTACATTCAGTGATTTTAAAGACTGCTGTATAATTTTAAACTTTTAATTGAGCAGGTTTTTCTATTCCATTACTTGTTCTCTAGTTTTATTATTGATTTATCGTAATTTCATGTTGATATATATATATATTTCTATATTTATTAAAAAAGGAAACTTCTTAGAGCTATTTTGAAAGTTATAAACAGTTTCATTTAATTAAAATTTAATATTATTTGTCAATAAAAAGGATATATTTTTTTATTAAAACTTATTTTTAAAATCTTTATTACTACAGAAATGTAAATGTTAGTACGTATATTTATAAATTCTATTATTGAGTAAACACATGAGTGTGGAAATTAATTGCGCTTCAATACCAATATCGACAATTATTATTGTTATAAGATTGTGATCAATACAATATTATCTCAAGAAAACATACGAATATACTTGAAATATTGCTCTGTCATTCTATTTGAACAGTAACTTTAATAAGAAAAAATATAAATTGTACTAGAAGAAATACCGGAAGATATTATTAATAATATTTTGATATAGAAAAATGAATTAATCAAAAATATTTTTTTATATTTTATTAAATAAATAGACAAAGTGATGAATTTCACACTTGAAATAAGAAGAGTTTTTAAATTTATTTTATAAGTAAATAGAAGAAAAAATTTTCTCTTGATTTCTGACTCTAAACTCTTCAACGTTTTTTCTCCCTTCCCAGAGAGGATATTAACGCTTGAATTTCCTGCAGAGTTATTGTTACCGCGGAATACAGAATCATCTTAAATTATATTTCATAAAAAAATTTTAAGCAAAATTTACGTCTTCATATTCGTTCTTTCGTAATATTACCATTCTATAGATTCCATGCCATACGGATATATTCAAGTAGTTTTCTTGAAATTTATTGACAATTTTGAAATATTTCTCAACCCATTCTTTTTTATAGATATGCATTATGATAAATATTGATATTCATTTTTTTTTTACATTGTTAGTGAAGTTCAATTTTATTGTAAAATTATTTTTCCTCTATAATTTTTAATATCATTAGTTTGGATGAGATTGATGTAACTTTCATGTAAATACCTATTATTCATCATATGTACTTTAACTCTATAATTATTTCTTGTAATTGGTACGAGTTATTTTATCATAACCTTCTTCTAAGTTTCATCACAAATTAATTAAATTATATGTTGAGTAACAAGGAGTATTAGTATTAAACAATATTAAAAAGTATTTTAATATTTCAGCATTCTATAATTTCCTACTATCTTCTAAAACACATAAACCAAGTCTATCATCATTGATGCACCTAATAATTATTTATATCTCTTACTTTTAATTAAAAAATAATTGTTGTAATTTTTTTTTGCAACTGACTTTTCAAAAAAAAATAATCCCATAATTTTGATTTATTTATGTTTATCAGTTTCTCCATTCTTCGAAGTCAGATTGATTTATGAACTTCAAATTCCAATCGGATTCAGATTAACCCGAGGAATATCGAAAAAGTGATTACGATTGAAATTTGCTCGGCTTTTTCTTTCCAGATGTAGTTGTATTATGTATAACTTTCTCACATGAATTAACTTTCTTATTACAAGTTATCCCATAAAATGTAAAGACAATTTAAATCCAGTCCTTGACCTAGATATCTATCACGTTCTGTCAACGAAAATGGCTATTATCTAATTAACATGATAATTCAAAATGACTTCTTACAATATGATTAAAGTAAACTTAATTCGATCAACATAACAAAGAGGAGTTTTTTAATGTTGGTCAATGAACCGGAAATCTATTATATTAAGCCCATTTATTATTGATAAATTTTTGAACAAAGTGTTTGTGATACATATATTTATAACAAAAACAGAATAAACATTACTCGTTTATTACAAAACCATATATTAACGTGAAACTTTATCAGAAACTATTTATAGATATATTATATAGAGACAGAAATCTATTTAAACAGATGTAAGTAAAAATAAATTAGTATCGATCAATTAGATTTAGTTCTATTGAGAAGATCACGTTTTACTTCAAATTGTCATTTAATGTCATTAGATATTTTTAAGCTTAGTTCAACCATGATATCAAATTTTTTTAAAAAATAACGTTAACACGTTCATGAAGAATTACGTTGAAAAACTTGTTAATCATCTATAAATGTCTGGTTTTATTACACTAAGGCTAATAAAAATCTGCAATAAAACAGTTTTAATATTAATTGTATATCATGATTTATTTCGTATAATCTGAAATATAAGAGATAATACTGATAAAGCCTCTTAAACAAATAATTTCTCCACTAATAAAATAAATTTTTCCAGAAATTTAAAAATATATAGCATATTTTATTCTCAATAAAAATCAAATCTCTAAAATAGCTTTGTCACTTAAGGAGGTTGTTTACGAAAAAAAAAAAAAGTCCTATAGTTATGAAATTTTAGTATGATGATTATGAGTAATAATTACACCTGTATTTACCAGAAAATTGATTTTGTCTGTTTAGTTTCTGAGAAATTAAAATTCAAAATTGGCTTTTTTAACATTGACTCTTATGGACAGTTCATTAAAATCCTGCATTATTTTATATTTATTATGAATAAAAAAGTTCTACCGCAATAAAAAACTATTCATATTACGTAAAAAACTGTTTTAAAAAGTTATGCAAAATTATAAGAATTTTGCCTGTCTCGTTTGTGAGAAATAAATAAATTAGTAAATAATAAATGATTTTTTCCACTTCTTTCTTATAAACAGTATAGACACGTGGCAACATCGCATTACACACACGAAAAAGATTACTATACATTTACATACGCATACTATCAATGAAGTTTGCTATAGCCATTTTTGTTTTGAATTCGTTTACATTCAAATAAATGTTCTAATCAGCTTCGTTCAATAATTTGAATAAATACATAAATGTACCCAAATGAGATCAGGAAGTGGTTATTAAATAATAATAATATAATACTTTCTACAAATATTATTTTTTAAGATATTAATTTTATTTATGCTTCTAGCACTTATAACTTTTCTATAGAGATATTTTAAATTAAACATTCTTATAATATATTGCTTCATTTAACGTCAATAAATAATTTTTTTATATAATAAAATTAAACTCTAATATCACGAAAAATTATTGCAACGCTTGTTTTAAATGACTTAAAATGTCTATTAAATTATTTTTGGTTCGAATTACTTTTTTTCCATCACGCCCTTCTTTTTTTAACAATTCTATCGTTGTTTGTTTACTTACACAATATGAATCTACTAGATTGGCATAAGAAATAGTTGCGTTTGCCATCCTAGTACGAATAAATTTGGAAATGCAATACTGCAGCGGTTCCAATGACTGAAAATTTTCATGAAATTTTACAGATGCTTGGAAATTTTTTTTGTTAATTAGTATTTCATCAACGTTTAAATCATGTGACACAATATTTTGTAATAATATTACATCGTAAATCGCATCATGTGCTTTCCTTGTACTTAGAGAAAAATTCTTTCCTGCTAAGCTTAACAAACTACAATCAGCACCTGGATATTTATTTCGAAAAAGTTTCATAGTATCTCCAAAACTGTCAACTACTTTTATAAACTCTTCTTGAAGAGATACTTTATTTATAATATTAACTAATCGTGGTCCATCGAAAGAAAAACAATTATGTGCTATTAAAACACACGGTTTGCCGAGATCAGTCAGAAATGTTAATAATTCGTGAAGCACTACGCGAAGAGGCTGTGATGAAACCTTATTGCCATGTAAATATAAATTACAACCTTCATTGGTTAAACCATGTACATTAGACGCTCTTGAAGGGATTACTTGCGTTGGTGTAATGTATTTCTGAAATGATGCATTTCCACATTTTACGGCGATTTGCAATACGTCACAATCTAATTGAAAACCTGATGTTTCCAAGTCAAAAAACACGATTGCCAGTGATTCATGAGAAAAATTGATATCTAATGATAGCTGAAGTAAGTTGGAAGTAAAGGTTTGACTTAGGTTTGAATTAGGTTTGACTTCAACACAGGACGTAGTCAATAAATCAATGTGACTTTGATATGTATCACCTTCTGTACGCTCTTTGGCGTTACGGAGTTGATTACGTTTTTTCTTCAAAAGTTGTCGTCTAGCCTTAAAACTCGGCTGTTTTGCTTTAATGGATCTAAGCTGGAAAGATTTTTTGGATCGTTCAATGTGTTTTGATAAATATGATCCAGGACTTAATTTCATTTTGGTAAAAACATCTTGTACGTATTGTTGACGACAGTTTTTTTGGCTCACTGTGCACGCAAATCTATAGTCCGCTGATTCCGAAGTGCTATAACATATTGCTTTGGGAGCTTTACGGGACATCATTGAGTTCAAGCTCTCATTTGCTTGAGTTGACGCAGCACACGAAAATTTTTCAGCGTTTTGAGCTAACTTATTGAACGTTTCACATATTTTTTTAAACAAAACTTCATTTTTAAAATCTTTGTGGAATAACACAGAATGCTTATAATTTTCAGGGTCCTTTAAATATCCACACCAGTTACCACAATTTTCATGAATGTCAAATGCGTGGTATGGAATGTTTCTAATAGCAGCAGCCATATTCTTGGTATTTCCTTCATTTTGAGCAACAGAATAGGTGTAACAACGATGCAAATAATTTATTGCATCACCCGTCAATCCATTTATATCTTTATTATTTGCAGTTTTGTACAATAAATTTTTAACGCCTTTTGATACGTGATTCCGATCTGACTGTTTTACAACAGTATGATCAGTGGCATTTCTAACTGCACAAATACTAGAACTATCGTTGTCACTAATAAAAACTCCAATTTCAGAATTACTGCTCTTCAAAATTTCACTTTTTGCCGCTAACTGTGCTGCTGCATGAGCCTCCATAGCTTTGGCAGTGCCATGAAAGTTTAGCCGACAATCATGTGAATTTTTAGCATAACCTAACTCACACTTGCGACATTTTCTGCTTGTTGTAATATAATCTATTACGAGGCCGGAAGAAGCACCAATCATTGTAGCGTATCCGTTAAGACTGTCATATTGCAACCCATTCCCTCTTTTACTCCAACCCATATCGAAACATACAAATAAACGGAGTAAAGTATCAGAAGTGATTGATGCAGGATTGAACACTGGAATTGGTAACGGATTTGTTTCTTCCAAACCATTTTCTTCGCGTATTACCGATTCTTCCAAGTGATGAGTTGTTGAAGTAGTTAACTCCATTATTTCAAAATTAGATTTGGTCGTAGCAGTAATTAATGATGATGATGGCAATGAATTTAGCGCACACGTTTTATCACTGTCTGAAGAAGATATTATAATTTCAGAATGTTCTGGGATTTTTATTTCATTTAATATGAATGTTTCCGACTTATCAGATGTTGAAGAAGGATTTACTTCCATAAGTTCAATAGCAGCATCACATTCAGCCGAAATGGTGGGTAAATGAAAACAAGTTTCTTCTTTTTGAGGAACTAAAAAATCACTCCTTCGCAAGTCTTCTGGCCTAAATAAATAAGTCAAAAAATTTCAAGTTATTGAAGAAAAATAAATCAGGATAAAATTGTAAATATTAGGAATAAGATGAAAACAAGTTTTCTATATTAATGTTTTGTATATATTGTATAATAATGTTTTGTATAATAATAGTATAAAATTCTTATTTATAATTCTTGTATTTTAAGAGACTGAAAATACGAAAAAAATTATTCATATATTATATTTTAAGGAAAAATTTTAATTTTCCTCACATCAATTCATTTTTTAGACTTGAAAAAGATACAAAATTCATTCAATAATTATGTTCAGTAATTATGTACATATATATGTATATATGAGTCAATTTCTTTGACCAAAAAACTTACAATTTTTCTTGCAAATTCTCTAAATTTTTAATAGTTAAAGCTCGTTCCAAGGCGACTGCTTTTTTACAGCTTTCCTTTGCAATAATCTCAACAACAGGCCCAACTTCTCTTTCAAGTTTTTTAAATGTTCTTGATGACATTGTCGGAATGTTCATTGTTTGAAATAAACTAGTGGTTGATGAAAAACCTAATCCAGCGTGCAAAGTACCTAATAACAGTGACAATAAAACACAACATTTCATTATAATACTTAAAAAAAACCCCATGTTTTCATTCACTTTTTTAATTTAAAGAAATCACTTATGACAATAATACTTATTGGACAATAAATAAGAAAAAAATAAATATCAATTACCCATGGCTAGTTTAGTGTTGACATCAAATACTGGCTGTTTCTGATAATTATCATGTGATTTTCCAGTTGGGATTTTGTTTATACCAAGACACTCACGACAACGTATTAAAAATATTGAACCCAAACCATTTCTATGTTCATTTTCAACGTCATCAAGTGATAGGAGTTGTTTACAGAAAACACAGTGCATATGTTTCCTCATAACCTCATATTCTATAATTCTTCGACCTTCCACTTCATATTTGGCTCTATCACTAATGCTTGATTTACTATTCATTTTACCTCCTTCAACTTGTCTCAATCTTGCTTTGTATTGTTTCTCAGTACAAAGTTTACCTTTCCAGCGATATTTAGATATTTTGGAAACTTTTTCACTTGACATAATTGCACAGGTTAGATCACTCAACATCAGAGAATACGAAAGCTTGCCAACAGTAGATCCGTAAAAAAAACTTATTGCGATGTTGCCACGTTTGACGCGTTTTAGATTCAATTGAAAAATTAATTATTAAGCCCTTATATATATCATTAGAAGTATTGAATGAACTATATACATAATTATATTAAAAATGAAAATTTGTGATAAATTTTCAATCACTAAAAACTATTTTGAAAAAATAAAGAATTATTGTTATGCGATTGGTAACTACGACCGGACTCTATGTATAAGCATAGGCGTTCCCCTCTCGCTCTGCGCCCCGCAAAGACGTACACAACCTCCTTAAATTTATTTTTATGTAAATTGATGGTGAAAATAAAAAAAAAAAATATTCATAGCTTGTGGTTTTACATAAAAGTAATAAAAAATGATGTTTATTGTGAATCACAAAATCTAAAATTCTAAGAGATGCAATCGGAATATTTATCAAAAATGTCTATTGGTATTAGACAAACAGACACTAGCTAGCGTACATATGACTAAGACATGACTGCCAACCACTGTTGCAAGTTGATGTAAATAGACTCTGGCAATGGCTAGTATACGTCCACGGTTGTATTTAGTTGTAGCTACCAGGAAACTCACTCTAAGCCATACGTATCTACGTGAACATTGTACATAGAGGCATATATGTATATGCGTCTAAACACGTGAATGCAGAAATACATTCATGATTTCGTAACTAGCCGGACGACCAAGGAGGAAATGTTAGTCCGGTTAATCAATTGAAGATACAAACAGCTTTAGTTTGTATATATATATATGTGCACACATGGACATGATGTTGGTGCTGCAACAATAACATACGTTTATATGATTTTCTTGATACCTTGTTTACATTGTGGCTTCACTATGATACTTTCTGGTTAGATTAATGTAATCCACTGTGAATATCTTGCCATCCTGAGGCTTTATATTTACTTCAGTTGTTATTAAGCGTTGCAATATATACAATAAAATGCTTTGTTGTTTGAATAATTAATTAAAGTAAATTTTTCTTCGCTCTCATATTTCCCTCTGGTAGCATACTGTCCCATGGAATTGTTGGTGTTTCATTTAGTAAATAATAAATGTCTGCTCTTAGCTCGAGAGAGGTGGTTTTTTTCAGATATATTATGTTGTAGTACTTGAAAATTATTAATATCAACATTCGCTAAGAATAAACAAGGACATCATAGTTTATTAAATAAGCTTAATATATATAGTACTCAGCCTTGTATTTAATATGTATGTCCACTGAGTTAAAAAGCTTTTAGTCCCTTCTTGCGAGCTTATTAAACTACCTATTTCGCGTGGCCTAGAGTACTTAACATTAAATTGTACCGGGGTCATTCCTCATCAATTATGTCAGCTTGTGCGTAATATTAAAGTTTGACATCGGTAATATATTCCTGCCAACTTGGTTTTTAATCTTCCCTAAAAGAAACAAATTATTTTTTTAAGGGAAATTGAAGATGGATAGTAAGTTGGAATTTTAATCTATCCTACTGAGCTAAGAATTACATTTTTTTTTAATAAGAAGTCTCTGGTTTCCTCCTTGTGATACTGATGACGAAAATGGATCAAATTATAAAATGCAAAAAGCACCCTAGGTATTATATAAGTCTTTGATTATTTTTTTATGCTGTTGATATTGTTGATAATTAGCGAGAATTCTTTTTTGTCAACTTTTCAATTGACATTGATCAAATAACATGAAAACAGTTGATTAAGTAGAAACATTGCATTTAATATCATGTCAAGATATAATTTCACTTAGTAATTAGTATTTAAAGAAAGTTAAATGAACAAATGGATATTGAAAATTTTCCATTTGTAAATGTTATAATTTTGTGAAAATGATAAAACAGTTGAATTATTAATATGTTTGATTCTAGATAATAAATAATGCATTAGTCAAAATGACTAAAAAATATCTAAATCAAATTTGAACAATTATTTTCTATTGAATTTATGTTTTGCCATCAATTATTTAGATAATAAATATAGTTTTGATGTCATTTAAATAGTTGAATTTTATGTTCGTGTTTTTGAATGTTAACTTTATAAAATATTGAGTCATTTATTATCAAACATTAAAGTAAGTTATTTAAGATTGAACAACAAAAGCTCTCGACAAATAAAATAAAAAATATTACCATTTAATAAATATCTAAAGTAATGAAATATTTCTTTTGTAATGATAACAAAATTTGTTAATCAACAAAGATGTGCACACAAAATTTATGCTTCTCTTGATTACAAAAAAGATTTTGATATTGATTCAAATTATTCACTTTTATCACTTGTTTAAACGTCACTGATAAGGCTTTCACTTTCAATGTCAATTTGTATTCGTCAGAGTCCGCAAGTACGTGACCCGAAATAAATAGAGCGATTCTTCGTATCAGGTGTACACTTTAAAATGAATGGCTTTGCATGTAACTTTTGTATATATGACTTGGATCATTGGTATATACCCCCATTGCGTGGAGAACTCTTGAGTTATAAGAGATGTACATACACATATACCGACATATAGACTCTCAAACTACGAGCTTGGATAGTTACTTTCGATGTTCCGTGACGATGGTCGATTAGGGTTTAACCATCGTAATTCATGATCACACGACCTGTTTCGGTTCGACAACTTTTCATAGGCAGAAACCTTTATTCTCCCCCATCTCTTTTTCAATCCTACGATGTGAATTTATCCAGGCGTGTACTTCAAATGAATACACATTTATTTGAGACTATTTTATAATAATAAAAGATATTGAATCTATACGGTGTTGCAAAAAAGTAATGATAGGATTAATTTTTATTTTTAAATCCTCGTCTTCTTATAATCAGTTAAAAATAAAAAAAATTTATCTCATCAAAATTATTAATGACATAATTAAACAGAGGATAAATTTCGTGGTGAGACGAAAATTGATTTTATCAAAGTCGATATTATTTGTACAATTATAAGCATATCTATAGGGAGGTCGAAGCTATGATATTAACCGGCATGAATGTTTCAACATTCCCTAGTTACCTCGGATAGCTTACTAGCTTCCGCACCGATGCATTCAATCGACGTTAGTCATATCGATTCAACCTCAATAATTCGTGTGCCAAACACTTGAACATGATTTTTACTCTAAAAATTCATTTCTGACTTCTCAATCTCATTACGGATCTTTAGATGAAGATATTCTAATAAAATTATTAGCTTTCTACATTATTTGGATCCCTTGTTAGAATTCTAAATAAAAAAAATACTTGTAGCAAGTATAAAAAAATATTTAAAAAATTTTGTTGAATAAAAATATCTGGTTCTGATATTCAAATGTTCATCAAAGTTAATTTTTATTAAAAAAAAAAAAAATTTATATTTTTTGTCGAATATTAATGTATTTAAAAATACTCACTATGGCATGCTGATCCTTTATCTATAGTGCAAAATGTATGTGCATATTTTCTTAGCTTTGTGATGTAAAACTATATTGTTTTATTGCTGACTATACAAAAAAGTGTGACTGATATGTTTGATATGGAGCACAGTAAGCATTAGACTATCTGTAGTTTAGTATTCTCTATGTACTACTGTATCGAAAGAGAACCTATGTATATTATAGTCTACAGATACGTTTTATTATAAATGTTCATTCAATATTTCTTTTGAAGTAATAATAACTACGAATAAGAGTATCCATGATTTTTCCCTTCTCTTTCGACAATTATATAAGTCGTTTAAAACTAGTTAGAGCTGTCTTTATAGTCTTTATGGTAAAATTAATAGGTTAATGGCTACATGAAGTGTAGATTGTGAAAGTGGTATAAAAGTATTATATCTACACATGTAATCTGATTTTTTTTTTTCGTTATAACAGCTTTTCTTCGGTTGAAATAATCAAAAGTAAGTAAAATAGTCGGGACAACTTGTAAAAAAGAGCAAAAAAAAAGTGCAACAAGAAAAAATAACGAAATTGCGAGGTAATCCCTTGTGTCATGACCTCACATATGCACCACATCAAAGTTTTATTTTGAGATTTTTTTGTCGTCAAGTACGCGCGTGGTCTTTGAGTTCCAGAGATTCTTCACTTCACCTTTTATTATATGGGTGCTGGGTACTTGACTGTGTTTTGTTCAAAGAAGGAGAATAAAAAAATCTCTACCACTCTGAAGAGAAAATTAATTAAAATTGTTTTCTAGAAATATATAAGATAATTTTATAATTTTTTACTTTTTTTTTTTAATAATGTTTTACAAATAACAGATTGTTAGAATAGTTGCTTTTGATCTTTATTAAAAAGTTTCGAGTTCTTTCTATATTTGTTAGCATGAATTTTGGATATTTATAAAAACATTTTACATTGAACTATTTATGGTAAAGTGAGGAATGTTTATGTTTCAAAATATTTAAAAAACTTGATAAGCATAGAATGTATACATGTATAGACGTGGAAATTCCTAAATTCTGTTTCCCTTTGATGTACAAAAATACTATTTGACTTTGGAAATTTAACTGAATCGTGAATAATTTTTATCAGGTCGATGAATAATTTAATTCATGAAAATTGTTAGATTATTTAAAAATAATAATATTAATAATATCAAAATGAATTGTAAAGTAAATTTTTTAAATTTGTTGAAATAATAATTTATTAAATTTTAATAGCTTATTTACTTTTAAATGATAAAATAACTTTGCTATTTTACTTTAAATAAAATTAATAGACAATCATTTCACAGTTACATCAACTGTGTTATGGTTGGTTAAACAGAATTACGTCTATGTTTATAGCCAACGTAAATAAGATTTTCTCTGCAGGAATTTATTAACTGCTTACGAACAGTTTGATAAACTTTATTATGTGATTAAAAAATTCAAGTTCACTTTGAGCATCAATTTTTCTTTCAATATTTACGTTGTTATTAATAGCAATATTTCATAATTATTTTTGCACATAAATAAAAATGATTTAAATAAAAATGTTATTCTTCACACATGAATGATTGGAGTAATTTACAATATAAACATTAAATATTAGTGTTCCACGAATTATAATTATATGAATGTTTGTTTTGAAGATGAGTATTGTGGAAAATTTTTCAAGACTTGGGAGATTATTACGGAATCGACTACTGTTTGCATCTTTGTATATCCGAGCTAGCTACGTGGCAAATTGGTATTACGTGGTAGGTTGAATCGATGGTTCAGCACTGACTCGACGTAATGTCCGCGAGCAACATACATGTAGGTACTACCGATATTATCCACTATTCTCTTCATGGCTATATATTGATATTGGTCGACAGAGTGTCTCAGTTGGGTGATGAATCGCTGGATAGTTCCATGTAAAGCATTGAACTGCACTGTACATAGCTATATGGGTAATGAACGCAGTAGAATTCATTGTCTCCGTCAGAAATTGAACTCTTTCAGTGATCGAAATCGTATTAAATTAAGTGACATCACGTCAAACAAACTAACCTCAATCGAGATTACATTCTAAT